GGACAACAATCATCTGATTGTTCAGATTCTGATGTTAGCCAAAAAAGGGTCAGAAGACCCTCAAGCAATTATGACCCAAAACGCCCTTCAATAGACTCTCATAACATCACTTCCTCTGAAGATTCGATGCAATCTTTACCGAAACGTAGAAAAACCATAGATGAGATTATAAAGCCAAACAAAAGAACAAAGGCCATGCGAATAGCAGACGATGACTCTGAAAGCTCATCGGAGGATGAGAACATCTCTAAGAATTCTAAAGAAAATTTGACCATAAATCAACCGGTTATTAAACTACGACGTATATCACAAGATTTTATTAGAAAACATACCAATAGACGTAGAGAAGATACAGAGCCGAATTCAAGGCTAAAGAAAAATTGTGAAAAAGTCTTAAATCCTGTAGAACCCGCCCAAAAAGTGAACAAACTAAAAAGATACAATAATGATTGTCAAATGACAGAACGCAATACTTCCTTCTGTGTACTCTGCAGATCTAAACCCTCGGATTTGACAAATCATTACATAGGCAGACATAAAACCGAATCATATGTAGCCCGTTTAGATTGGGCAGAACTAGATGATCTATCTATTAACACACCCTTTGCCAAACTACTACCAAGAGGGAAAAATGCTCGTTTTGATCGTTATGAAGTGGAATGTCCCTTTTGCCAAGATAAAATTACAGATCAATTCATTAATCTGTATCAACATTATTCTGTTCATACAGGAGAGTATGCTTTCCAATGTTCCCACTGTAACCTAACGAAGCCCTACAGGCCCGATATACAATCCCATATTCTTCACTCGAAAACATGTCGCAATGCCACTATACAAATCATGTATCGTTATCCACCCAATGCCCAATGTATTTATCTGCACTATTGTACCATCTGTAATTTTGTGCAATTGAACGAAGCCAATGTTTTAAAACACTTGAGAGAGCATCATGATAGTTCTAAAGCCATTCCAAGTAATGTACAAAAATATATATTAGCAGCCATGAGTGATGGACCCGATATAAATGAAGCTAATAAACCCCCGACACCTGCCCCAACACCACCGCCAGCGGTACAAAAAGAAACAACAATAGATGAAGGAGAAAAGAGTAATGGTGTTAAAACGACATGTAAACCACTTGTAAACCACAAAACTGTACAGCTTCCTGGAGAAGTACAGCAGACTGTGACGTCCATGACGTCCAATGATTCAAATTTAAAAGTTGGTGGCGATGATTCGTCGTCTAATGATTTAAATTTCAAAATTGATGATGATGATATACCTGTTGGTAATGAACCTTGTTGCGAGGAAGAATTTTTAGAGGAGGGCAAATATTCGTTAGAAGAACAGTTGAAACAATTACACGAAGGACCCACGCATCAAAATGTGATCACCCAAATACCCATGACAGTTGTACATTGTATTGGCGATCAGATAAAGCAATCTCCAAGTGGTCGCCCAACAATTCCCAATACACGGCTACAACCACAGTCAGATAGACATCTACCCATGATTTTAAAAATTGAACCGAACATAGATGTCGAAGAAAATCTAATCCTGACACCTCCTAGACCGACAAGTAATAAAGCAAAAGATGCCTGTAATACAAATATCCCCGCAGTTTCGAAAACTCCATTATTCACCATCTATGAAAAGTATCGTAGCTTTCCACAAAATGTCAACTATTTGGGTCTATACAAATGTATGATAGATGATTGTTATTATTCGACAGACTGTCCGGAAGAATTTTTCAAACATTTAACGGATCATTCCACAAGTCATGACTCAAATTTCATTGAGTCATATCTACAATGTCCGTATTGTGTTTTACCCCGAGAAATTGTTATGAATCCCATGCAATTGGTGGAACATGTACGCAATCAACATGGAAACTTAATTTATCAATGTTCTATGTGTTGTTATCGCAGCTGTGATGCCTCCAATGTTTACATTCATCAGCAATTGCATCATAATACTCAGCTAGACTTATGCAAAATTTATAAATGTATCGCAAGTGAAGATCCGCAGGTTAACATCGGATTGGATGGAAACTTGAATGAACAAATAGTGAAAAATGTTTTTAAAATTGTTTGTAGTGGTAAGTAAACAGATATAATTATTTAATTAATGCAGTATTTATTTTCTTTGAAAAATTATTAACATCTCTTTTAATTATCAATTTCAGTTTGTCAAAAAGATTTTTATCATACACAACCACTAATAGAGCATCTTACTAGTGTGCACAAGGCACAAATGGACAATAGCTTAAAAATCTACTCCTGCGTATATTGTTCTTTAATGGTGGCAAACAAAAATGAAATACGTATGCATGTATCCACTAAACATCCAGGAAAACATCCTTATATTTACGATCACAATACACAATGCAACAGTATAAATGAGGTAAATTACAAAAGAACCAAACCAAAAAAGCTTTCCTTTTATTTCATAAAAAAACTATTTTTTTAATTGTAACATTAGGATTTGATACGCGGTATAGATGTTCTATGTCTGTCTGAAGCAGTGGCCTATGAGGAAATTCAAACAGCTAAAGAAAACGATGACAAATTACAAGATATAAAGCCCGATTTTAAGCAGTTGCAGCAAATGAATGAAGAAACGGTTAGAGTGCGCTTAAGAAAATTAACTGCTCATACGGGAGTACAGCCGGACAAACTTTATCGTTGTCCCCACTCTACATGTGGTGGTTTCTTTACCATTTTTGATTTGTGGCTAAGGCACATGAAGGTGCGTCATCAATGTTTGGAATGTCAGTGTCCTCACTGTCCCACACCGAAATTTCTAACTGTGGAACAATTTGCCTTACATTTTGAGGAACACCGACGTCATACATTTATCTGTTACTATTGCCCAACTACGTGGCGCAACAAGACATTGGCTATGGAACATGCCATTAAGGAGCATAGTAATTTAGGCCCCATGCGCTTCGAGCAAATACGTTTCAATCTTACATACTCCTACGCCATTATGATACAAAATGATTTATTAACAGAACATGAAAATTTCATCGCTGAATTCTTGCTCATATTGGATAATCGTTTAAAAGTTTTAGAATCAAATGAAAAGGAAAAATTGAAACATCAATGGCCGGTATCAGAAAACACTTTGTGGGTTGATGATTATCTCCATAAGCTTCACAATCGTAAAGTGGTGCGTACCTGTTTAATGAAAGACTGTCCATTTCGTACTGTCAGTGAAGACAATCTTTTCGCACACTTACGTACCTCACATGTCATTGCTGGTACCTCGTTTAATTGCTCCAAATGTAATTTCAGTCTATCGGTCTGCACCAATATCGATGAAGTCATTAATCATATAAAATTACACAATGAATTTATTTGCATTTGTGCTGCTTGCTCCTTAAGTACGCCAAGTCGCCAAAAAATGTCTAACCACATACGGGGCCAGCATTCAGCGCGTGATGTTCCAGTAATCCAACTATTTAAGACAAATCAACAATTGTTTATTAAATTATTTATAGTATTCGCAGACAATCATCTAACATTCTCAACGATGAAAAATTGCTTCTGTTGTGGGGAAAAGAATATGGAAGGTGATGTCTTCAGTTTACATTTGAAACGATATCATAAATTTTCTCTCAATTACTATTGCGAAAAATGTCCAGATTTTCAATTTAAATCATTGAAAGATGTAAAATCACATTTTCAACAGCTGCACTCCTCAGGCAAGTTTAAAATACGCACTGAATTGGCGTCCGCAAATGACATACGCGTAAACGGGTTAAATGATTTTCAAGTGGAAATTTCCATGGAAGTACAAACGTCCTTTGCATTACATATTAAAGATGAACCCATAGATGTAACTAATACTGAAGACGAGGACGATGATGTAATTTTGCTTGAAGATAATGATGTAGTTATACAAGATTCTTTAAGAGATGAACAAGTACAGCAGCCTAAGTTAATACCACAACTAAAATGTGCCTCATTTAGTAAATTAATAGAACCCTCAATAGCCTATCCACCAAATGATGCAACAGTTAATGAACCACCAGCATTTCAACAACTCCCCACAACATTATTCAACTCAATTTCAACAGAACCTCCCACAGTAATACAAGCTAATTTTCTAGCCGAAAACCAAGGGTTTCATCAAAACTCACCCTGTAACACAGTTCCTAATACTCGGTTTATGGCCCCTTCTTATGAAAACCAGAATATTAATGTGTCCATGAATCCTTGCAACAATTTAAATCCAAATATGGCTGCAAATGACAATAGAAACACTGTCATACACCACAATAACACGATGAGAAATCCAGTTAGAGCTTTGCCGACTATTAATAAGGTTTATACCCATCAAAGAACAAATAATCCTTATATGGGCCAGACTAGGTTTGTGCAAATACCCGCAAATATGGTAATAAACCAAAACTATGGCCCCTCATCCAATAATCAAAATGATCAAAATATTGTTTATCAAAACTTATCTTCTGTTAACGATACGTTTAGTTTCTAATTAGTTTTATTCAAAACTTTCGTGATAGGTAATTTATTGTTTTTTATTTTAATTAAGTTTTGTTTCAAATATTTTGAAACTGTTTTGTATATTATTTTAAAACAAATTTTAAAGTTAATTTTTTTATTACAAATATATGAATACTTTGAAATAAATTTTTTATTAAAATAAAAAAAGTTTTAATTGTTAATAAAGCGGAGGAAAGTAAATTGGCGACTTAATAAATTTGTACATGCCAAGGTAGGAAATGTTTAGAGCTTATTATCTGTTCCGAGAAGCTTTTAAAACCGAATTTGGTGTTCTGTTTTATATAAATAAAAATTGTTTGTGGTAGGACCTAATTTAAACAATTTTGTATGAAAATCTTTCCAATTTTTAATAAACTAGCAAAAATCTCTACATATGGCATCACCTAATAATTGCATTTTAACGTTATGATTTGGCAACACCAAACTTCACCAACTGTCACCTTGACGACGTTGTAATTTTTTTACGACGACTTTGACATTTAAACAACTCAAGTTAGATTCTGTTAAATTCCTACGGAAATGAAGTAGAAAAAAGTGATATTTTAAGGAATTTTATAAAGAAAATAAGACTATAATCGTGTAACAAATTAAAAAATTGTTATTAGCATAATAGCAAAATATAATAAAGTTCTTAAATAATAAAAAGAAAAAGCGGTGATGTAAAAGTTATGAACATTTGCGTAGTGATTTGTGAAAATTAATGTGTTGTGAAGGGAGGAGCAGCAGTAGAGCAGTCAACACAGTAATATTATAGTGACAAAGAACACAAAAATACAAAAAATAAAGAAAAAATAAAACTAGAAATCAAGAAACTTCAAAACAAGGCGTAGCAGCGCCAAATACTGCAAAAATAGTTTATAATTAAAATAATAACCACGAGAAAAATAAAAATGTAATTATAGAAATTGTATATATAAATAAATAGACAATCCTAGCAGTGGAACAGAACAGACTGAGTGTAAGATACTTTGAAGGTTAAGGGGATTTGTATGTTGTATTTAAATCAAGAGCTGATTCATCATCAGTGCGGTTCAGTTCTGTCTTATGTGTGGTATACAAGTCAAAATAAACAAGAAGAACTTGTTTTTTGCTGATTTGCAGCATAAAACTTAGTTTTAGTTTTCCTTAACCATCTTCGATTTTTTTTCTTCTTATTGTACTGTTCAGTTGCTAGTGATTGTCAAGGACACCATAATAATAAAAAATACAAATAATAAAGAGACAATAGCACGAATGTGTAAAAAAAGTGTAATCAATTGTATGTATGTTTGTGTCTCTTATAACAGCAGTTGCCATGGAGGAGAAACGTATTGCCGATTATTTTGTTGTGGCCGGTATGCCAGAGAAGCCAAAACTACTGCAAGAAAGTAATTTTAAAGATTCCAGCCATTTAAGGGCTGCCACCTCCATTGATCCCATAACAGACATTGGTGTATTTTTTCCCTTATTGGGCGAAGAGATACCCGATGATTATACCGTGTTGGAAAGTACACCTACTGGATTACCTGCTAATTTAAATTATGGCTCTCTAAGATCAACAGAATGTTTCATTTACTACAGACGTGGCAAGGATCGTCCGCCATTGGTAGATATAGGTAAGTAAAATTAGATAATATACTTTAAGGGTTTAAAATAGACATTGTAATTTCCAAAGGGGTACTTTATGAGGGACATGAACGCATTATGTCTGATGCTGAAATTGTGGCCGAAACACCGGGTGGTCGTGTGGCCAACGTCAACAATTCATCGGCTAAAACATTTTTAACTTATCGTCGTGCTCAAGCTGAAATGCCCTGCAATGAATTGGTTGTCACCGATTTGTGTGTGATTATCAGCAGCAAAGGAGAGAAACCACCACATGCCTTTTGTCTAATCTATAAGTCTTTGAATAAAGCCTTTACCGGTAGCGATGTTTATTTATGCTACAAAAAATCTATGTACCGTCCAAAACACATCAGTTATCAGCCGGAAATTTTACTACGTTATCCTACAGTTGATCATAATGATTTTCCCTTAAATCTATGTCCAAGTGTGCCGTTATTTTGTTTACCCATGGGTGCTTCACTGGAAGCCTGGCCACATGTGGCCGAAAATAAGAAACGTAAACCCACAGCGCCGGTGTTTAGTACATTTGTTTTGACTGTAAATGATGGCACGTATAAGGTGTATGGTTCGGCTTTAACTTTTTATGAGGATTTTGAGTGAGTTTTTTTTTTTGTTTGTTTAAAAGTTAATTTGTTAAAAATAAATGTTATGTTATATTATATTATAGTGAATCACAATTAACGGAACAACAGTGTGAGCTACTTGGTTGGAATGAGGAATTTGCTCAAAATCATTCATTGCATATCATTAAAGCTATTTGTTTATTATCCCACTATCCCTTTGGCGATACTTTCGATAAATGGTTGAAATACTTACACGTAAGTGAAATAGTAATTACTAAATAATAGAGAATTTTAAAAATATATTATTTTTATTTTAGCGCTTGGCTGTATTTGGTGTTAATTTACCCATACCTATAGAACGGTATATAACACAATTATTGGATGAAGTACCATTTCCAGCACCCAGTATACATTTGCAGGTAAGAAGATTTTTATCTTTAGGTCTGTTAAATAAAATTTTCTTGCAAAATTATGTCGAAAATAAAGTTTTGGTGCAATTTTTGAATAAAAAAATCATTTCAATCGACGTCTTTTATAAACTAGACCATAGGCAATACTATAGATTAGAATATAGACTAGACTTTAAAATAAAAATACTTAAAAATTTATTAAATTTATTAAATTTAACAATCTTATATAGTTATCGAGTGAATCAAATGATCGTATACTACTAACGCAGCCCGAAGATTCGCCTTTACCGCGTAGTGGTGCTGGATTTCATATGCTCCTGCAGAATTTAGGCACAGAAAATTGTTTACATGTCTTACTTTTGGCCTTAACTGAACAAAAAATACTCATACATTCTTTAAGGTAAAAAGAAAAACCCATTTAAACAATGTTTGAATCTTCTATCAAAGTTAAATGAAAACTTTTCTATAACAATAGGCCTGCTACATTGACTGCCGTAGCCGAAGCAATAGTTTCATTATTATTTCCCTTTAAATGGCAATGTCCCTACATTCCTTTGTGTCCACTGGGCCTGGCAGAAGTCCTACACGCACCAGTACCCTATTTAATAGGAGTAGATTCGCGATTTTTCGATTTATATGAACCGCCCACAGATGTTACTTGCATAGATTTGGATACAAATACCATAAGTGTAAGTTGTTAATAAAACGTTTTGTTGCAACCCAAATGTAAGTAAAAGATTATTTTTTTTTTAATTCTAGCTTTGTGAATCCCAAAAACATTTACTGGTTAAATTGTTGCCCAAAAGAGCGGCTCGCATTTTGAAACAGACTCTTTCGGAATTGGAACAAACTAAACCGCTTAATATAGACTGCAACAATAGTTTAGATCGCGATTTACGCAAACGTAGACGTGAGGTAATTTAACATAAATATTATATCAAAAAAATGTACATTTTACTAACATTTCTTTATAATCCTTACAGCTACATTTAGAACAACGTATACAAGAGGCCTTTTTATTATTTATGGCTTCAATTTTACGTGGTTATCGCGATTATTTGGTACCCATTTCAAAGGCACCTTCCGTGGGTGCCACTGACCCCAGTGCCTTATTTCAACTGAAAGCTTTTCTACGTTCTCGAGATAAGGTAGGAGAGTTGAATGATTTGCGCTAATAATTTAAAATACTTTAATTATTTTAAAATTTGTTTATTGTTTATTTTAAGGCTTATCAAAAATTCTTTGAATTATTGATGAAAACTCAAATGTTTATACGCTTCATTGAGGAGAGATCATTTGTGTCCGATGGTGATCATGGTTTAACATTTTTCGATGAATGTGCCGAAAAAGTTGGTTCTTATGATGAAACACCATCGGATGTACGTTTGGTTGATTGGGAGACTGGCCAGAATAGTGAACGTACAAAATATATATTTCCACCAGATAGTATTGGACCCACCAAAGGTAAATTTGTTTTCATTCACAGAAAACTATTTGTAATAGTAATTAATGACAAGAGTAATTAATGGTGAATAAGAAGACAACAGTGAAAAATTTCGTAAACTTCGATCTAACTCTACATAACTTAAATGAAAACATAGACAAAAATGCTGATGCAGCGTATTCCATTCTTATAATTCTCTTAAAAATTATTTTTATTGAATTCTGTAAATTAATTACAATTTAAACAATGTTTTTTCTCAAATAGCATTTGAAATCAATCCTAAAAATTTTAATTCATTGAATAGTAATCAATTCACTTTTGTTTGAAATACATATCTGTGGTTTTGTTTTACCAAACTAAAACCTATACTCTCACTTGTTTTCAGATCACAACGCCCAAGAGACGGTATATAATTATGAAAATTTTACCTTAAATCCCAGTCTTTTGAAATCATCGAAAAAGACTGCATTATCGAGCTTAATACAACAACAAATCAATGGTTGTCTTGCACCCGGTTCACCAATTGCACGACGTACTAAACATGAAATAAAATTGTCACAAAAAATGGCCAGACGTTGTCAAAGCCGTCCAGAGCTGTGGTCCAAATACTTGTTGGCCACTTGTTATTCATTGTATTTTCTGATTCTACCGTCCATGGTCTTGGATACAAGACGGGCTGGCAAAGAGCATGATATTCTAAGAGCGGCCTATGATATGTTGGTTAAAGCCAGTAAAATAAAACTTAATTGTGATGAGTTTTGTTATCGCATTATGATGCAATTGTGTGGCACTTACAATATGCCGGTATTGGCTGTACGCTTGCATTATCTTATGAAGAGGTCAGGGGTACAACCGAATGCCTTAACCTATGGTTTCTACAATCGTTGTGTTTTAGAATCGGAATGGCCAAGTGATAGCACCACCTTAAGCCAATTACGTTGGAATCGTATAAAGAATGTGGTATTGGGTGCAGCTCACTTTAAGAGAGCTGGTAAATTGAGAGCCTCCAAGAAGCCTCTCTCAGCTTCTTATGACAATAACCTAAGTACTCTAGAGACGGTAGATGGTACTTCACGTACCAGTCTAGAATCCTCTAATTCGTCGCAACTATTAGCCGGAGCGGCTGGTGCAGCTGGTGATGGTTATGGTGTGAATATTTTAGACTTTTCAGCATTCGATAAATTACGCTCCAAATTAGGCAGTATTGTAAGACAATCGATTGGCACGCAGGATGCCACCGATGATGTTATATCCAGTGCTGGCTTGTTAATTACTGGTGATTCAAAATTATCCACAGACTCCACAACAGGTCATGTACCGCCCGCCAGTCCACAGCCCACAGCAAATGATTTAACCAAAAGACAACTTTCAAATCGTGAAAGTTTCGGTGGTGATGCTGAACTTTTAAATAAACTACAAAGACAACATACTCTAACGGAAATGAATAATAAAAAGATTATGAATCTGGGTGAATATGATAAGGAGGCAAAAGGTAATTTTAATGATTTGGCTAGTTCTCAAGAAGAATTAGATGATGATAATATACATGATACCGAAGATGAGGAAGATGATGATGAACATCCCCTGTCGCATCAAATACAGAGTCCCACTAAGTAAGTCGTCTACTCAAATCGCAAAAATTGATGTTATTGATATACAATTTATTTTAATTATAGAATTTCACCCCGCACACCGGTTACACAAAATGATCCCTTGGGCGCCCTAAATGAGGAGGAAGCTCCCCTACCTGTTCAAACTTCGGATGACCAGTCTGCTATAGGTGGCGGCGTCTCGTCTAGTTTCAACAATAACACTTTGTATAGTGATAAACCCATATTGTTTAAGGGACAACGCAGTGCCACATTCGATGAATCCACTCAATTGAATAAAAATATGCAACGTTCTGAAACTATGCCGGGATCAAGTGTTGCCTCAAGTTTGGCTAACTTGGGTTCTTCGTTTAAATTAAATTTTGGGTGAGTTTTTATTAATATAAGTTATATATTATGTATTAAGTTTAAAGAAACATTTTTGTTTGCTATAAAGTTGGTGATCTAAAAAATTAATTAAATTTTGGTTAAGCTCATTTTTTTGGTATTTCTTTAAGATATTAGATTGTTTGGAACGTTTTCCTAGCATATTTAAAAGAAGCATTCCAGTGGAAATTTATTGAAATACAAATTTAAAAAAGTGCTCTGGCGTTTCAATGAAATTGTAAATGAAACTAGATTATCGAAATCGAAACAATGGCTAGTGTCTCTCTTTCGTGCTGTAAATCTCTCATATAGTGGGTACTTTTTGTCCGATCAGACTATAAAGTTTGTATCCTTGATCGACCTCAAGGCTATTATGGACATCTGGTAGTAGATCTCTTCACGGGGCTTTCGTGGGTGCGCTTACAGCTATGACTGATAGTAGCTGTTGATAGGGAACTGTGTAACAGGTTCGCAGGTTAGGTGATTTAATATTGCATTTAATGATAAACTATATAACTTATTGTACTGAGGACGACAAGGAAACGATTGAAGAATCAAGACAGATACATTGGGCATTCCATTGTTGCACACATTAGTGGATCTGGGATCGGTATTAGAAAGATTTTCATTTCGTTCCTTAACTAAATAAACATGTAAATGCTGTTGTTGTAGTTCGACTCTGCCCGATAGTTCTTTTGTTGTTGTTGATTGGCTCTTGAAGCTTTATATATTACTTGATTTGAATAAATAAATAAAACTTTCGGTTGATACAGCTGTCTCTGGGCGGACAATCTTTGGCCGAGTATGACTCAGGTCGTTCCAGAGCGAAGATCCAATTGTCGTGGGAACCCTAAAAGGGTCAATTGAGATTCCCTTTAATAAAAAAATATATAAAGAAGACAGAAAAACAAGAGACAGAAAAATGAGAAGAGTAAGATTTCCCCCCCAAAATGGATTATAGAAAAAAGTGGACATGGAAGGAAGGCACATCTCCATTGCCCGTTATTACCCTACTAAACTCCTTATACTCTTTCTGTCCAGTCCTAACAGCACTCTGGTTACTTTTGGATTTAATTACTATCCTGTGCCTCCCTGGTACCTCCTTGTGTATAACCTGACTAATGATTTCAGGTCCCTACTACAGTTAGCTACCAAACTAGAATGTAATATGTGACATTCACCTCCATTCGGCATTTCGATTACGTTCACGCATTCAGTTACGCAACGATCGAAAAAAATTTATTCCAACAAAAAACTGAATCGTAAGAAAAAGAAGAAGCAATTCCATTTCGATTCAATGCGTTACGATCGTACCTACGTTTATGTAAGTTGTTGTTTATGTGGCGGAGAGTCGAATTGAAATGCAGAATACCAAAGTTGCAAACGGAGAAAATTTGGATTCGAATTGAAATGCAGAATAGGGGCCATTGTAAAGCTTTTAAAGCTGCCTGACTATCAACATTAATCTTTACTTCCGATACCCTAGTAATGTGTGTCTTAATGATACCTACGGCTTTCCAGATCGCCAAGATCTCTACCTGGAAGACGCTACATTTATCCGGAAGTTTATAGGATACTCTTATGTTATCATCAACCAGATAAAGTTCGGCCCCTGTACGAATTCCATCTTGGATCTCTTAGTAAAGACGGCACACTCCTTAAGTTCGTAACAAAATGATCTGATATACCCTCCTTACTTCCCTCAAATCCTGTTAAACCTACTTCATACAGTAATCTTGGGTGGCCTACACGCTTTGGTCTTACTATAGAGCTGATTCAAACAGTCTAAATTTTTACCCAAGATTTGGTTTGTTTACCGTTATTTTTAAACTGCCCCAGAGTTGATATTTTTGGATTTTTTTTCATTCGAAGTGTAAACAATAGTTTTAAGTTCTTATATCTGAATTAGTCGATTATAATTTCAAATCACAAAACTGAAAAAACGACACTTCTTTATACTTTTATCATACTATCGTTAGTTATAATTTATCATTAGCATTACATTTAATACAGTTTAATTTCATTCGATACCACACTATTTATATATACATACATATATATTTTTTTTTTTAATTTTTATTTATTTATTTTTATTGATGTAAACTTTTTTACCCAATTCTTTTATGTTGTGTTGTGAAAAATTCAAATGTTTTCTTTTAATTTATTTTATAAACCAAAAAAAAAATATTGTAAAATGTTTTCGTAGACGTTATTCACCTGCACGCTTGTCCTTTAAGAAAGACTTGAAATTGCCCACCAATATTATAGAAAATATAAGCTACATAAGGTAAGTGTGTTGAATTTTAAACCAAAAACAAACAAAACAAATGTGGCCATTTAAAAAACTTATTAAAAAAACAAAAGTTTGGCCACATGTTGTAAGCTTATGTTACTGTTTTAATTTTTGTTATTAAAACTAAACCAAAAAAAAAAAAAATATATGGTGAAGGTGATATGAAGAAAAGGTGGTGGGTGCTAGTAAAACACATAAACCTTAAATATCTTTTCCAAAATAAAAAGTTGTACAGTTTGTCCAAAATATAGCTTTAGTTTTATTTTATATTTTTATGTTACTAATGTTAATATGCTTTTGTAGTTTATTTAGTTTTATATTTATTTTGTTTTGTTATTAAACTTTCAAAACTTATAAAAAAACAAACATTTGTGCATAAAACTCATTTTATTAAACATTTTTCGGTATTTTCATAGTAATTTTTTCTTAGAAATTAAAACTAAGACACACTTTCAATAGAATTTTATAAAGGTTATAAATTATGAAACATTTGGTTCGTTTCTCCCATAGTAAACTTAAATATTATTCTAAAACTTTATAAAATTGTAATTGTAGTGTGAAAGTTTTTCTTTAACAAATTATTCTTTGATGTGGTTTTTAATTTATATCTATATTTTTTAAAAAGTCCTAATTTTAGTGGTAAAAAATCCAACGAAATTATACAAGGAAGCTTAAGTAGCATTAAACATGCCGCTACATCTATAACTCGTAAATTTGATGAAATTAAAGGTGCCATTTCGGCCAATACAACACCCGTCAAATCTTCATTATCCATACAAGGTTACAATGACAATGGTGTCACCGAAGAGGATATGATTGCCAATGAAGATGGCACTTTAAAAATAAGACGCGTTTCGAGTGATTTAGAACATCCTTGGGGCCGTTTAAGTGAATCGCGCAAATCAAGTTATAACAATCTAGTGCCACTAGGTGAAAATACTTCCACCATGAACTTGAATACAGCGCTTTTAGCTCTACCAGAAAATCTATATGCCACACCGCAAGATGTAAGTGGACATTTTAAAGAATATTTTGTATAGTCGAGATTATAGGCTAGACGATACTATAGACTAGACTATAGACTAGACTATAGACTAGACTATAGACTAGACTATAGACTAGACTATAGACTAGACTATAGACTAGACTATAGACTAGACTATAGACTAGACTATAGACTAGACTATAGACTAGACTATAGACTAGACTATAGACTAGACTATAGACTAGACTATACTATAGACTAGACTATAGACTAGACTATAGACTAGACTATAGACTAGACTATAGACTAGACTATAGACTAGACTATAGACTAGACTATAGACTAGACTATAGACTAGACTATAGACTAGACTATAGACTAGACTATAGACTAGACTATAGACTAGACTATAGACTAGACTATAGACTAGACTATAGACTAGACTATAGACTAGACTATAGACTAGACTATAGACTAGACTATAGACTAGACTATAGACTCGACTATAGACTAGACTATAGACTAGACTATAGACTAGACTATAGACTAGACTATAGACTAGACTATAGACTAGACTATAGACTAGACTATAGACTAGACTATAGACTAGACTATAGACTAGACTATAGACTAGACTATAGACTAGACTATAGACTAGACTATAGACTAGACTATAGACTAGACTATAGACTAGACTATAGACTAGACTATAGACTAGATTATAGACTAGACTATAGACTAGACTATAGACTAGACTATAGACTAGACTATAGACTAGACTATAGACTAGTCTATAGACACTATAAGTATTAATATCGTTTTTAAATATCAACAGAATATGGATGACAGCAATGATTTTGATGTCTTAATACAAATGACTTCATGCTCTCAATGCCACAATTGTTCCGTTTTACTTTACGATGAGGAAATAATGTCCGGCTGGTCAGCTGAAGATTCCAATTTAAATACAACATGTCATGCTTGCAACAAGTTAACTGTACCCTTTCTTAGTGTACGCTTCAATGTTAACGACACGAAAAAAGATAATAATAAACCACAAATGGAGAATCTAACTATACCCTATTTAAATCCACTGGTTTTGCGCAAAGAACTCGAAAATATTTTAACACAAGAGGGAGATTTATCACTCATAAAACCCAATTTTGTAGAAGAACATCCCATTATATATTGGAATCTATTGTGGATTATGGAGCGCATAGAAAGTAAAACACATTTGCCAGATCTCTGTTCGCCCACAATTGTATGTTTTTCAAATATAATTTAAATTTATTGAAATTGATCTAATCTTTTAATTTGTTCCATTTTAAGGATGACAACGACTGTGATCCTTTGAGCAAGGTGAAACATGTAAAAATTCAATGTTTGTGGGATAATTTACAATTGCACAGTGAGGCTGGTTTACCCATGTATATTTTATATAGACAAACACAGCCCACCAGTCCTTTGCTTAAAGCATTATTAACCGATCAAGCTCAATTGAACAAAAAGTAGGTTTTTAATACAAAAACATTTCAACTATTGTTATTAACTAATATTAACTAATTTTTGTTTGCAGCGTTATACAACAAATCGTTTCCGCCATACGCTGCAATGATCTTCTAATGCCGGTTAAAAAACTGGCCAATGAACGTCACAAACTCAAGAACAGTGGCGTCGATCGTTCTCATTCTATCTATCGTGATATACTATTTTTGGCCATAACTGCTATCGGTCGTTCGAATGTCGATTTAGCCACATTCCATCGCGAATATGCGGCAGTATTTGACAAACTTACCGAAAAGGAATGCAATATGTATTATCGCAATCAAGATCTGCCGCCCTCAGCAGCCACCATATTTTGTCGGGCCTACTTTAAACCACTGTTGCTGCTTCCTTGACGAGAACAAAATCTAATGCAACAACAGTTCCACAGAGATCAAATAAAAAACAATAATACGTAATAAAAAATTCTTACAGCACGGAAACGAATGGAAAAAAGGTAAATAAGTTTTATAATACAACTTTAGTAATGACAACAAAAAAGGCAATCATCAATGATACTTAAAAAAAATATGTAAAAGAAAAAATAATTTTATAGACTAGTTTTAGTAAGAGGAATTAATTAATTAACTAATATAATAACAAACATACTATACATATATATATTTTATTTTTTGTTATTAGCATAGTTATAGGTTCTTGACGTAAACATTTTAATAGGAGGACAAACAAACAAAAGCACATTACTTATTATAGGTTATTAAAAAAAAACAAAATTATTTTATTCATTCATTTATAACATTTACAATTTTTATTCATATATTTATGAATTGCATTCATTAAAATTTTTAATTTTATTTCACAAATGTGGGCGTATTTATGCATTAATTTTTACAGATATTGGTATGTGTTTTTCTATGTTTAAAGTGCAATACTTATGGAATTTATGTATAGTGGTATGTTATGTTTTTTTTATTAAAATAGACATCGAGGAACTATACATTCTTCAAATTAATGGTTTTGAATTTTTATGCGTTAATTTCAAAAAAATCGTATAACATAATAAACCTCCAAGAGGTTAAACTAGACCTATTTGGATTGTAAGACAATTATAAACTATTTAAAAAATAGAGTGGTTTTTAAATCGCATTAAAGCTGTGATACAATGTTGTCAGATCTTACAACGTTGTCAGTAAAATGTGCAGAAAATGTCTAACATTCGTGAGAACTTACAATTATTCTTTTGCAATGTTGTCAGAAAAAGCATTACTGAGAATGTTTCAAGACAAAATTTGTAAGTTGACACTGTTGTTAGACATTTTCTGCCAACGTTGTAAGATCTAACAACCGTGTATACATAGCTTTACATAATTTAAACACTTTAAAATTGGTATAATAAAGTAGAAGAGAGAGTATAGGGGGACAGATTGATAATGAGCTTAAAGGTTAGAATTTATTTCATTTGAACTTCTTCTAAATTGATCATATTATTATCCAATTTTCTTAGATGATTACAACGTTATTAATCATAAAAATTTAAATATTCGTATTAAATTATTATTGGAAATTATTTATTGAAATTTGTAAATTTTTAATTTTCTGGTGAAAATTCAATTTTTTATGAAAATTTGGTTATTTTGCAGAAAAATAGCATTTTTAATGAAATTCTTTTTTTTTTGGTGAAATTTCGATATTTTATTAAATTTCATCACTCTTTTGTAAAATTTTTTTTTTTTCATTTAAAGCACGATTTGTTAGTATTATACCCCCTTATTTTGTAAAACACTTCACCTTGCGTTGAAAATATTTTCATACAAATTTTTTAAAATACAAAAACAATTTATATGAAAAATGAAGTGAGGGGAAGGGATTTACAAAATAACCCCCTTAGTTTTTTCTAAAACCAAATTTTTTTTGTAAAATTTCAACTTGTATGAAATTTCTAATTTCAATTTTCAATAATTTTTAGTGAAATATCGACTTTTTGTTTAAAATTCAAAATAAATTTAAAGATTATTTTCAAAATACTCGTTCAAATCGTACATTACGAAACAATTACAATTAACAACACGCTCACATTTTTCTTTTTTTTTTATTATTATTTCAATTATGTATTTTTGTTTTAAAAACACAATTAATTTTATGCATAATGACTGGTTTATTTGTGACAATATAAATGTATTAACTATAAAATAACCACAAAATGGAAAAAAGTAAGAAATATATTTTATTTTTAATTATTAATAATAATGACTATTTGTAGATTTGTATAGAACGTACATATTGTCTGTCTATCTTTACATAAACAATATAAATAGACATAAATAAATACATACCATATTTACATTAATAGTTTTATACGTATTTATTTATGTATATTTATATTTAATTGTAATTTTTTTAACTCTTTAATCATATAATATATGCCTTATTATTGTTAATTCTAAAGACAAAGAAACAAAATTTATCGATTGTATTATTAACTCTTTTTTTTTAGAAATTTTATAAAGAAACAAATATTAAGAAAAACACTAAAACTGTAATAAAAAATATTTCGTGTAAAATTAACAAACACTGAAATAAAATATACTAAATATAGTAGTATATAGTTATTAATTAATAATAAAAAACAACATTAATACATATAATGTTATTCCTCTTGATCTAATTAATTATTTTTATTTTAATTTAAAAAAAATTCATTTTATTGGCACGCCTACAAACAAATTATAATTAATGTATTAAAATTAATAACAATAATTTGCTCCAACATAAAACTCTAATATAAAAGACAAAAATATTAATGAAACTATGTTTTAAATGTTTATGAAACTAAAAAAGGAAAAATGAAAATATAGTTTTATTAAAAAAAAAATAAATAATGATTTTAATAATAAAACCCTTTAGGCTGGTGGAGAAAAGACTCAATAACAATATACATTTTTATCAATAGAAACTAGTTCAACCCCCTTATTCACAAACAAAATTTTTATTTTATAAACGGTTTATAAATTAGATTTTGTATGGAAATTTTGTTTTATAAACCTTTTATAAAATAAAAATTTTGTTTGTGAATAAGGGGACAAGAACAAGAGCAAACAACACTAAACTCTAAAAAAATCCCTAAATTAAAAATCTCAGAAAACCTGGTAATCAATTTCAAATTGAAAAAAAAAACATTATTGAAAATGAAACGTGTTTGGTTTACTTTTAAAATAATTGAATCGATTTTGGGTTTGTGTTGTTTGGGCTATCATGCACGCGGTTTCCTAAACATCACCTACATACAAAGTCACTATACATATGTGGCGGTATTTGGTGGTTTTTCTCTGATGGCCATGTTTGGATGCCTAAGTATATGCCTTAAAGAGCCCGTCTCAGCATTGCGTGAAGGTTTATTAAATTGTATTGCGGCCATAGCTTTTATATTGGTGTCACTGAATAGTATGTATCATGCCGAAAAGGATTTTCATTTAATGTATTTGTCTGCCGATGTTACGGACGATATTGAGGAGGAACATTTGGAAGAAGTGGAGTTGACACAGCCGCCACATCCATTTTTTAAATATTCTAAGGCACAAAGTGTAGCGGCTTTGTGTTGTGGTTCTCTATTTCTGCTGCATGCGATTTTGGCATTTGATTTGTCATGGAGCGGTAGTGAAGAGTCGTTTGAGGTGAGTGATGATGATGAGTTCGATGATGGTAGTATAGCAGAGGATGGTGGTAAAGTTCAACAACGTTTGCCCTATTATGTTTTTGGCAAGAAAGTTCACGACTGGTTAAATCATTTTGATTGGTTTAATTCATTGGCTGATATAACGGCCAACAACAATAATAATGAAGAAGAATTGAAAGAAGTTAATTTTCCGACAAATTAAATGGAATTTTATTAATAAATGAAATATCAAACACTTTTCTAATTAAAAAACAGTTTAAAAATAAACAATTGCATAGAAACTACATTGAAATTCAAAAATTTAACGTCTTTTTCCTTAGCTTCCTATCTAGTTTTCTCACAAACTTGGCAGCACTGTATCGTTGTAGATTTAGCACCATCTATTATGTTTTTGGCAAGAAAGTTCACGACTGGTTAAATCATTTTGATTGGTTTAATTCATTGGCTGATATAAATGCCAACAATAATAATAATGAAGAAGAATTGAAAGAAGTTAATTTTCCGACAAATTAAATGGAATTTTATTAATAAATGAAATATCAAACACTTTTCTAATTAAAAAACAGTTTAAAAATAAACAATTGCATAGAAACTACATTGAAATTCAAAAATTTAACGTCTTTTTCCTTAACTTCCTATTTAGTTTTCTCACAAACTTGGCAGCACTGTATCGTTGTAGATTTAGCGCCATCTATTGTCTTGGCTATTGTCATTTGAAAAAGCAAGAAATCGATGTGGCAACATTTCGTTAATTTTGGTACCGGCTTAAATAAAACGATCTGGTAACACTCGTAAATTATCTTGAGTTGCCAGCTTGTTTAAAGAAATTCGCAAAAATATTTATAGTTGCCGGACTGTTTTTGTTAAGCCGGTGCCAAAATTAGCAAAATGTTGCCACATCGATTTCTTGCTTTTTCAAATAAAGTAAATCAAAACAATAGATGGCGCTATTATTACCATATAACAGTGCTGCCAAGTTTCTAAACATTTATTCTAACAAAAAGCCGCTTCCTGTTGCGCCGTAAAGCGTTAATATGAATTAATTTAAACAGATTTTTTGCATTAAATAAGTTGCAACTTTTTGTTTATTATTTGTGTTAAAAAAACTGTCCCATTAGAAATACATGTTTCGAACGATTATTTAAAATATGAATGTTATTTAAAAAGTTATCCTAAATGGGTCTCAATTATACGGGAAAATGGGTGTAATTTGAATATTTTTTGTTTGTTTGAACGTGTGAATTTTTTAAAATATTTAATACATAACTCTAAGAATTAAAGATAAACTAAAAAAGGTTTGAATGATGATTACTTACAACACTAACATACATATATGAATATAACATATCTAAGCACCTACTCAGTATATATTTATATTTAAATGAGAGAGGGGCGAGGGGACTGACGACAACGATGACGACGACGTATGCTATATATAAACAACAAAACGTAAAAACCTTACGACAAGACAACACGTCTCATATTAGAATTTTATACATCAGTCCAATATCACTACATCGTCATCCTCCACCTGGGGCGAGATCACAGTTTTTGACCTACTTGTTGTTGTTGGCGAAGAGGAGGGTTTTGCGTTGTCTTTGCCTTTTTGCTGTAAAAATTGACTGATCAACTTATTTTTAGCTGGTGTAGGAATTTGTTGACCCCTGGCTACCGACATTAGTAAAGGCACTCGTTTTTTCTCTTTCGATGTGGTGGGTGTGTTAGATTTTGTTTCTGTGCCGCCAAATTTATCAGTGGACGACGACGTATTCGTTGTTGATGCAGGTGAATTCTGTAATTTTGAGGCCTTTTCTTCTGCCGTTAGAACTTTCGTAAATTTTGTTATTTGTGATGTTGCAGCATTTTTGCCCTTTGCACTATCCTCTGCTACAACAGGTGTAGTTGTAGTGCTTTCGTTTTCATCGGTTTTAACCTCTTTGTCGGACTTTACAAATTTGGGTGGCAATGTATATTCCCAAGAATTTTGTAATTCCAACGACGGCAATTCCATTTTATTTAAACTGTCTTGTTTAACTACCCAACACAAACGTCTTTTGGCCTTTTTCTTCTTTTTTGCACCGTCAGTGGCAGCATCATCGTTGGCTTGTTCCACCTCCAGCATAGTAGCAGCAGTGGCATCTATTGCTTGCCATTCAGCCATTTCATCAATTTTATCACGTACTACTGATTTCAGAGGTTTGCGTAAATCTCCATTTTTAACAGATTCCTCCGTTTTCTCAATATAGGCGATAAATTCATTAATTAAAAAGTTTTTCGAGTGATTATTGCCATGTAATAGCCGTATAAGATCTTTAATCATGCTATCGGATAAACTTATAGGTTTTAATTTTTCCGCATTAGGTTTCTCCACATTTCCATTTGTTGCGCCTGAAGGTGATAAGGAAGGTTCTGCGGATCTGTCTCCTTCCGGTTCTTCAACGAGTGGTGGTTCGGTGAATAGCATGGCTTTTTTCTCTAAAGTATCCCATAAAATTCTTGCACATTCCGCCGGTTGATTGCCGTTTATGTCAGTCCATATACATCCTATTAAGCGGGGCTTTATTTTTTCTGTTTTCTTTTTCATTTCTTGGGCAAACTCCTGTTGTAGTATTTGCAATTTAGCCTTTTGTGCCTCTCGCGTATTGTCATCGCCCATACCGAATTCATCTTCGTTTTGTAATTCTTCATCACTCAAGTGACCATGGGGTACAAACCATTCGTTATCTACTTCATAGTCATCATCCTCTGATTCCTTTTCTTTGTCGTCATCACTGCCATCCTCCAGTGATTCACCAGGTTCTTCTTCTTCCCACTCGTCGTCGGAATCTACCTCGTAATCAAAGAATTTCTAAAAATAAAAAGCAATTGACATAAATCTTTCTGCTGGTAGAAAATTTCAACTTTCATAAAATCCTTGAACGTAAAACTCTTTCATTACTTACCTTGTCTTGAGCAAAAGGCTTTCTAGGTTTAACCACAGCTGATTTTTTGCGCCAAGTTCCATAGTAGGGAGGTCTACGATTATCATGAAATTTATAAAATTTAACACGCATTTCTTCACGTATATAGGCTGGTGTATCTTCTACAATCTCTTGACCAACACGTTCCAATTCATCTTCTATAAATATAAACAAAAAATTATTTAACATTTCTAACTCAAAGAAAGCATAGAATAAGCAAATAACATCTACTTACCCACAAGTATGACATCATCTTTTGATTCTGTAGATGGCCGCCGCCATTTGCCAGGCAATATTTTACCAGAACGTAGTTCACTTAAATACAATTGAGTTTTTGGCAGAGGTTTGCGTCTTACCACATCCTCCTCTTCATCATCATCGTCATTTTTACAGCCCAGCAGGTTATCTAGGCGATTTTTGGCCTCCGGCGTGAAAATTTTACGTATTACCGGCGCCAGTTTCATATCACCTTTAACTTGAAACGGTCTAAAAGCCAACAGTTTGTTGTCGTCTCCTGTATTGCTATCCTCCTCATTTTTAAGCTGTGCTTGATTTGGAGTTTTCGCCACAAAGAATTTTGTAAAGGCTTGAGCCGCTTTTTTCTTTTTTAATTCAGCTTCTTCTTTTTCTTGCTCTTTACGTTTGCGTTCCTCTTCCTTTTTGCGCAATTCTTCTTCTCTTGCTTCGTTCTTTTTACGTTTTTCTTCATTTTTAACTTCCAACTCGGCCAGACGTTTACGTTCTTTTTCATCACGTTCTTTGCGCTTTTGTTCTTCTTTTTCTTCACGCTCTTTGCGACGTTGTTCTTCTTTCTCCTCGCGTTCACGTTTTTTGGCCAATTCTTTTTCTTCTTTCTCCTGTTGTTTTTTTAGTTTTTCTTCCTGCAATTTGCGTTCTTTCTCTTCACGTGCTTTTCGTCTTTGTTCCATAAGCTTAGCTTGTTTTGGTGTTTGATTTTTCGTAGACGTAGACTTCATGGACTTACCATCCTTAAGCGATTCTAGAGTACTGTTGTGTTTTGTTTTGGAATTCTCACTCATATCAGATGAAACATTAGCGCCCTTGCCATTTAAATTATCCCTTTCGTCGTCGGCCTCATTGTCATTGTCACTTAGAACACTTTCGTCTAGCTCTTCTTCTTTATCATTTTCGGGGTTTTCGATTTTCTCTTCATCCGATGAACTAGAAATTTGTTGAATTTCATCTTTTTCCTCATCTTCGGGGGATTCTTCTGGCGATTGGTTTTTGGTTTGTGGAGAAGTTTTATTTTTGAGTTCTTGTTTGGTTTCTTTCTCTTTGTTGGTAGTTTTATTAACTGTCCAGTTTTTAATACTTTGCTCAGAAGGCTTTTTGGAACTTTCCTTCTTTGAATTATCTTTTCCACTCAATGTTTTTGTTATTGACCTCGTTACAGTTGTTTTGCTTTTTACTTCTTCCACTTCCTTCTCCTCTTCATGTTCTGAGTCTAAGGTAATGGTTTCAACTTCCTTTTAAATGAAAATAAAAAATATAAATTATCAAGAAAATTTTGAGTTCTTTGTACAGTTGCGTACAAAAAAGCATATGATAACCCTAAAATTTATTAAAATATGGTTTATATAATTGTTCCATCAGTTACGCCGCAGTAAAGAAAGTACATATCGTCACCTGAAATGCAAACTTCCCTAACTAACCAAAAATTCAAAATCGATTTTATTGTTGAAGTCCAATTTATCCATTTTTAGATACTCCATTGCCAACTATCATAACAAATGATAGATTTCACTATTAAACAATTTATTTACTACAAATAAATCGCGTTGTTAGAAATAAACTTTTCAATTTAAATAGTTTTTTGCTTCTCCTGTAAAATTTCGAAAACGTTAGACGGGACCGTTTGCGTTTTAGGTGACGATATGTAGCTAATTAATTAGTTTGAAAGGGGATGTATATATATCCAATCCGAAGATATACATCTTGACCGAAGATAAAAACCTCGGGCCTGTTGTGCGCTTCTTTACCAGTGACTCAGGTGGGAATCGAACCCACCACCTCAGATCTACCAGATCAGAACACTAACCACTAACCTACAGGAGGCCAATACAGGAGTACATAGGAGTTATTATTATAAAAAACATTTTTGTCAAAAAAACCTATATCACATTCGATTTTATCATATTAACAATTATATTGTCCACTAACTCTTAACTCCATACTCCTTAACTCCAATATTTTATAAAAATTCGACGAAAAACAAAATACCACTTATAATAACACTTCCTAGGGGTTTATTTTACTTTTGCTACCGCGCCCTTTTTTATAAAGCATGCAACATTATTGTAAAACACACCAATATATTTAAATTATTTTATAATTTTATAACAAATAACACTCACCTGTTCTTGTTCATCATTCTTAGATTTAGCATTTTTTGTTTTATCACCATCATCCACATCACATTCCGTATTTAATTTTTTACGTTTTTGAGGATTTTGTTCAACAGCAATTTCCTCAATATCATCACTCGATAATTCTTGTGCCGAGTGATTATGAGAACCTTCTGCTGTTGAGTTGTTGAGTGACGACAATTGATGTAGTTTTGATTTTCTACGTTTCTTTTTGCCAGCACTTAAGGGTAATTTTATTTGTAATTTTGAGGCACTGCCATTTTTGTCCTTTTGAGCGCTAGATGTTTGTGGTGTTCCTGCACCGTTTCGTTTGTCTTTAGCAGTAGCTTTTGGAGTCTTTAAAGCTAAATCTTTTTTGCCCACAGCACTAATAACAGAAGTATTATTAATATCTTCATTATTGGTTTCACCTTCAACGTCCTCGTCATCATCATCATCCAAAAGTGAGACAACAACCTCCGATGTGGTGTGTTCTTTGTTGTTGGTCTTCTTTTTCTTAGTTGCCGCCTTTAAAATCTCAACATTTTCTTTGCTTACATTATCGTCAGCATCAATAAGAACAACGGCACCACTAGCAACATCATCATCGGTATCATCATAAGACAGTTTACGCTTTCTACCATCTGTAGAATGGCTATCTTTATCCTTGTCCCCTGCAGTTGTTAGTGGTGTTGCAGTGGTTTTTGAGCCAACCGGCGATGTGCCGGGGGCAATAACTTTAAATGGTAGTCGTGCTTGTTTCAATTTTTTGGCACTAGATTTTTCTGCATTGTTGTTTGTGGAAACACTATCATCTTGGACCGTATTTGTTTTCGGTGTACTACCACTTGTAGAATTGCGCATTATTCGCAAATCTTTCTTGCACTTGAGATTTTTTACAATTCAAAGTAAATAACAATAATTAAAATTTAAAAAAATAATAAAAACACCAGATTTAATCCACTTTATTTAGCACGAAAAAATAAATAAAGCTACACCAAATAAAAAAATGTTTCTGAAAAATGACAGAAAAACGCGCGAACTGCTAAACAAAGTCATGGGATGCCAGATCAATAAGATCTGCAAAATTGTTTGCCGGTAGAACCGGCATTGGGAAAGTTAACCATTTAGTTTAGCAAAACTATTCAAATTATTAGCTCTCTAGAGAAATAATCCTAATATGTTATTCCATATTTATTATAAAAGCATTAAACGTAGCTTTTATTATAAAAAGTAGCTGTCCTAGTTTATTTTTGATCATTTCATGGAATTTTAAGTTATTTTTTGTTAAACAGTGGCATCCTTTATAATTAAATAGAATTGCCGTATAGTTGCTTACTAAAAGTTAGTATTTTGGTACGTTTTTAGCACATCTGTGATATTGTTTTAGTAAGACCTTTTTATTGCAACTCTAATTGAACGTTAACTGCCAAGTGTTAATTAATGCAACATAATTGCAATTAAAGAAATTACTAACAGCATACATTTATTATTATTTTTATAGGAATTTTAAATAACTAAACACTTACAAATATTTTGAATAAAATTTATTCGCCGGAATTTAAAATTTCTACAAACTTTATTCTGTTGAACAAAAATAGGGTTTCTATGCAGAGAATTTGTATGTATTCACATAAGAAATCTTTGTTGGGAGTAGGACATTTTTATACAGAATCAAATTTATATTTCGGGGGAATGTGGCTGATATTTAAAATATTTTCCCAATAATGAAAAAAGATACATACATATGTATGTACATACATGTATGTAGGTGTTTTTTTTATTCGTATATGTGTTAGTTTTTTTGAAAGACGGGAAGGAACCCAAAACTAGAACAGTTGTCGCTTAAGTTGATTCCGATTTGGGTGGAAATGATGAATTGCAAGTTTGTCAGGGGTACGTTAAGAAGGATCTTAGAGACACCATAAGGATCTTAACCCGACACTATTAAATTACACAATAGAACAGGCCATGACCACAATATTGTGGTCAAAGCCCAACTAATATTTTTTACAAATTCAACTGCCCATATTTTGGATAGATTAATTGATACATATGTTCTTTTGTTCTTGATCTTCTGAAATCTCTAATTATCTGATGGGCAAAATAGAATATCCGAGTTTTAAATTTTGTTAGAATGTCATATTTCCTCTTAAAAATAAAATGTTACCTTAATTCGATTTTAAGTTCAAATCATCACTGTTGACTAAAAATCTTTTTTTAGTTAGTTTGTTTGAAAGGAGGATGTATATACATCAAATCCGAAGGAATATACCCAGGCCTCTATCGGGCCTATTGTGTGATCCTTAACCAGCGCCTCAAGTGGGAATCGAACCTGACCACCTCCGTTTTACCAGACTAAAACACTACCCACTAACCTACCGGAAGTCACAAAATTTTATTTAATAATTAAATTTTTACAAAAACCCGATTTTTAATAAAAATGAATAAATTTTTAATAAATAACTTTTTTAAAAATTCCAATTTTTTATAGAAATCCGATTTTCAAGAATAATTAAAAATTTTATCATAAGTCCGAATTTTAGCTCAAATTGCGGTTTTCCACTAAAAATCCAATTTCTTACTAATAATCAGATTTTTTACTAAACAATCAAAGTTTCCACACAAAATGCTATTTTTCGCAAAAAACATAATTTTCACTAAGAGTGAGATGCTTCACTGAATATAAAATTCGTTACTATAGATCTGATTTTTCTCTATAAATATTGTTTTTTAGACAAATCAGATTTTTCCCAAAAATATTATATTTCAAAATTTTGTTAATGGGAATTCTAAGTTTAAAAGCCGTTTTTACTAAATTTTACTAAAATTTTGATTTAAGCTATAATTAAATTTGTATCCAGACATTATTTTATTAAATCCAATTAAATTGTTCACGAAAAAACTGCTAAAAAATCGGTAAATTTAGAAATCCCCTTAACCAACAAACCTATAAAAATGTTTATTTAAAAAATATTTTACATAATTTGCGCATTTTTTTTTAATTAAATGCAAAAAATAGAAACAAAATAAATAAAATAAATAATTAAAAAATATTTTACACTAACTAAGCAAATGTATTTTTATTTAAATTTTATTTTTAATTTTTATAATTACAGATCTTTAAATATGAGTTTTATTTTAGATGTATTTATTATTTTCATTATACTTGTTTTTCACCTTCATTTCATTTTTATCATCATCATTATTATTATTATTATTGAATAATTTAATTAATTTTCTTTTTCATTTTTCATAAATTTATTTTGTTTTATATTTTTGGGCTTTTTTTCTTTTATTTTCAAAAATTATAAAATAAAAAAAGGTATAAATGTGTTGTGTGTTTGTGTTTTTCATTCAAACGGTCATTTTACTGTTTTAAATATTTTTTATTAATGATTTGTATTATTTTTATTATTATTATTAAATCATATAAGACGCTTTTGGAAAAAGTATTTATTTTTCTTTAGACTCATGTATATAAACATGTTTATATACATACTTATGTGTATAACTGTGTATGTATCTAAATAATGTTTGGATGTTGCAAGTTTTACAGCGATAATGCAGCAGTACGTTTTGTTTGATATTCGATTAATGCTTGACTGAACACATTGCCCCTTAAGATAGATTCGTTTTTCCGATTTTTCACCTATTGTCCCCATAGCTATTTATGTATTTTGTATGTAACAGGTGAAACAAGATTTGACGTCAAATCGTCAAAATCACTTATTGATCCAACCTGTTCAGTTCGCACACTATATGATAGGTTAGGGTTTTTACTTGATTTGATTTATTTACGAATAAGATGTGACTAAGTGAAAAATAGAGTAGCGGATGAGTGAGTAATAAACCGAAAATGTGTAATGTTTATCGTATTTTTTGAATGCATCACAAAAATGAAATACGTACATTTTTTGTGTATGTTTTCTGTGTGGATTTATAAAAATTCAAAAGTATAAACTGTTTATGATTTTTTTTTTTTTTGTTTTCTTTAAATTTTTGTTACAAATTTTTATTTATTAAAATACGTAATAATAGTGGAGTGTGTTTTATTGTATGTGTTGTATATATGATTATTTTTATTATAATTTTTTTGTATTGAGATTGAGTGCGTAATTTTTAGATAAGTTTCCAGCAGAATGGGGTGGGTGGGCGCTATTATTGAATTGATTTTTTTGTGTTTTTTGCAATAAGAATACAAAATGGTACATACATACGTTCTTTCTGATAATGACTAGGTCTAAATTTATGATAAAATTATATCGGAAATGAGCGTTTCTTTTATTATTTTTATAAAAATATTAAAATTCAAAATATTGTTAAGGTCCTAAATTAAGCGGCAATTGTGAGGTTATAATGATTTAAAGGGTTAGCCTGTCTAATCTAGATGGAAAATTAATCTTAAATATTAAGGGTTCTTTTATATTGAAGTTAATATTTTTGGGCCTTTAAGTTATATCCTCAATTAAAGCTATGTACCTTAAAAAATTACTATAGTCTAAACTATAGGAAAGATTATAGTCTAAACTATAGACAAGACAAAAATCTAAGGAGAGTGTGATGAATATCGTATAAAATTAAAACGCGCGTACTTATAACATGACAACTATAGACTATAGTCTTGACTATAATTTTGCCAATAGTCTTGTCTATAACTTTGACTATAGTCTCTCGTATATAGTTTCCACTATAGCCTAGACTATAGTATAGTTTGGACAATAGTCTTGTCTATTTTAGACCATAGCCTTGACTATACTTTAGACTATCGTCCTATTTTTAAGGTACATATGTATATAGCTTTTATCGAGAACTATAGTAAAGACTATAGATTGAGTTATAGTCAAGACTATAGTTTAAACTATAGTCAAAACAATAGTATAAATTCTATTGTCAAGAGTATAGTCTATTTATAGGCATGACTATGGTATAAATTATAGCTATAGCTAAACTAGTCAAGTCTACTATACTATAGTCAAAACTACTAAACATAGTCAAGATTATAACCTAAACTGTAGTCAAAACTATAGCCTTAATTGTAGTCAAGACTATAGTCTAAACTCTAGTCAAGACTATAGTCTAAACTCTAGTCAAGATTATAGACTAAACTCTAGTCAAGACTATAGTATAAACTATAGTCAAAGCTACAGTCTAAACTATAATCAAGGCTATAGTCTAAACTATAGTTAAGGCTATAGACTAAACTATAGTTAAGGCTACAGTCTAAACAAATATCAAGATTATAGTCTCAATTATAGTCAAGTTTAAATGATAAACCAGACTCTTCGAAAACTCCTTAAATATAGATCGGCCATAAATTAAAACATCTAAAAACCTCAAAATGACTATACATTTTAAAAAAATCATAAAAATAGACCCACAAAACTGGCCTTTTAAAATCTGAAAATTTACTCAAAATAAATTTTGTTTTGAATTAACAGATTTTTATAAGACAACTCTCATCAGCGCTATGCTTAATCTGCCGGCTGCACTGCACTAGTAAATTAAAAATCTACAAGCTACAGTGAAGCAGAAAATTCTTTAAACATTTCTAAACAAAATTGTAAAAAATCGCTCATATTTGTTTGTTATTACTTTTATAAATGAATGAATATAACTAACACACACATAAAATACTAACTTTTTTAAGCAAAATAAAAAAAAGAAAAACGCCAAACAAAATTAATGTATTTAAATAAATTTTAAAAACGATATATATAGTTTAAATATATAATAATATACTTATACATATAAATAAACTCTGATACAGCGAAAAAGTTATGAAATACAACAAACAAGTTTAAAAATATAAATAAAGTGAAATTAAAAAAAAAACAAATTAACACTAAATAATAGATAAATAATACATTTACATAAGAATGATAATTTTTTTTATATATATTTTTAAATAGTATATTTGTTTATCATATATAATATAAAAAAATTTTTTTAATAATACATAGTTTATAAATTGCAAAAACAAATAAAAATCATATAACAGTATTCTAAATGCAAATATAATTATAAACCAAAAGAAAATATAATAGATAAAATATATAATGTTTTTAATTTTATAAAATATTAGAATTATATATGTATGTAATGCGTAAAATGTGCGTGTTAGGACTTAAATTTAATATGGCTTAAAAAGTTTTAGGACACACTTTTTGATTTTCTTTAAAATATATTGTGTGCGTTTATTTTTCAAAAGAAAATTTTTAATTGTTAAATTCAAAAAAAAAAAAAAGATTTGGTGAAGTTTTTTTTTTGGCTGGCTGTTTTTTAATTGTTTTCTGAAGTTTATTTTTTCAAAAAGTTTCTTTTAAAAATTTTCCTTTTTAGAAAATTGCAACATATTATAAATTTATGAAACATTTACAAATCACAGCAAGCCATAAATATAAACATAATTATTAAATAAGCGAATTACTAAAAATGTATAGCAACTGTTTAAGCGAAGGACCAATTTATAATAATTAAACAGACATTTTTTTTTTTCATTTATTTAAAAAAGTTCTTACATTTTAATCGGTAGTTAAAACATTATCAGTATAAGAATTTAGATATAAAAAAAGTTAGATAGAGATTTTATTGATATGAACGCAGCTATGTGATTAGGTAAACTACTTTAATGGCAAATTTCATGATAAATTTGTTCGTTTTTCATTCTCTCACATTCTCACATGGTTTCATTATATTCAAAATGTGATTCAGATCTCTTCTAAAGTAATTTGATTATTTTATAAAACCTTGATTTAATGCTTTGAATATTTTGTAAGTAAGTCAAATTTACAGGCCGACAAAATCTGAATGCTGCGCTGAATCCGAATCTATAGTATCATCTATACTCTGGACTATAGTTTATAGTCTGGACTATATTACATAGTCTGGAGTATAGCTGATAGTCTGGACTATAGCACATAGCATGAATTATAGTTTATATTTCGGACTAAGTTTATAGTTTGGACTATA